TAATAATAATATTCTAAGATAATTAATAAATAATAAAATAATAAACTAATAATAAATTCGTTCTATAACAATATATTCATGAGAGTTGCCATGTGCTACTTTATGAACTTGGCAAGAACCTTTGGTGGCAAGAACTTTTTTAACTTTAGGAAATACGATGAACCCAGTTTCATCAATATTCCAAATATGGTCAGCGGTGAGTAAATTTTTTTGGATTATTTTTTGAAGCTTATCAAAGTGATCTTTTACAATAGTTGGATTTGCCTTTCGTACACATGCCTCTGAGAGGGCCTAAGGCATACGAAAAGATAAATCGGGATAGTCTTTCAAAAAGTATGACCACCAGGCCTTGTCAGATTTATCTTTGAAAGGATGATTTCGATTATCACTATTGATAATACTCATCACGCAATGGTCTACTCCGGATCGTATAAGTCCAAATCCTATTTTTTGCATATTTTTGCAATATCCAACTAATTGTTGTTCTTCATGTTCACTTAAAACCGTTTGAGGGCCAGGACGGTTGGGCAAGCCGTTATTCTTTGCACATTGTAAAGTTGTTTCAGCAATGCTAAATTTTAATGCAGTTGCTCTTAAGCTAGGTTGGTCAGGACTATTAAGTGTCTCAAGAGCTGATTTAATAGTAGCCATTCGGTCTTGTTGTAGTTTTTTAGACTTGGACGAAATTTGGGAACTCATTTGGGTTTGCTTTTTTTTATTTTATTAAAAAAAAATTTATTTGTTTTGTTTTGTTTTTTATTTGGGAGATTTTTTTTAAAAAAACTTTAATTTATTTTTTTAATTAGCATTTATAATTTTTATACTGCTTTGTATACAATCACAGTCGTAATCACGATTGATTCTTCAAGAAATAATAGTTTATTGTTTTAATCATGATTGTGATTGTTTTTTATATTGGGATTTTGTATGCAATCATAATTGTAATTAAAACAATAAAATGATATTTTTTGAGAGAAAATAATAATTGGTTTGCCTTTTGCATATAATCATGATCGTGATTGTTTTGTAGCTTTTTGTATAAAATCACGATTATGTAGTTTTTTTTTGGAACAATCATAATAGTTCCTTTTAGACAATTAAAATTATTAAAAATAAAGTTAAACTAAATTATTCAGAAAGCTGAATCTAACTAAACTTGTAAATCAATAATAAATAAAAATATTTCTAAATAATATAAATGTGTTTACTATTCGTGAAGAAATTTTAAAAAAACATGTTATTTTTTAAAAATGGAGTACTCTTCTGATCCATATTATGAAGAACCTAACGACGCAATCTCAAGTCTCTGTAACGATTTAATTGAAAGTACCCGGATGAATTCAATGATCGAATGAAACTTGCTCTTCCAACTCTCTATGACTGGCTAATTGATATCGTAAAATACTTCTTGAAAATAGCCGTCACGAATGAAAAGATCAAGCCAACTGACAATTATCGTTTATATTGCAATAAATTAGAACGAATTAAATTTTTTGGTACATTTTTTGGTGACTCATATATGATTATAAAGTTCTTGCCAAAATGGGTTATATTATCAGGATACACAAAAAATTTGAAAAGCCGTTTATGAAGACATCGTTTTTAATAGAGAAAATAGGTATAGGTATATCCGTAAAGAATTGGAGATGTGTAAATTTGCAGATTTGTTTTTTGAAAAGGATGAATATAATTCAGATTTCCTTAAATTTTATTGTGATTGTCACTCTTCTCTTAGTGAAGAGGAATTAGATGTAAAAAATTAAATTATACGTATATTTTAATTAATAAATTACTTAATTGGGCCAGATTGTCAAAGTGCATGTGGGTGTGCTGATTATAAATTTGTTATTTTCAGTGGCTTTTTTATTTTTTTTTGTCATATCTCGTGGTCTGTTATTCCAATTAAAGTGATTTTAACACCATTCGATTCGTCTTGATAAGACAAATTAAATGGTGTTAAAATCATTCATTTTGGGTTATTGTGTTACGAGATACTTTTTAAAAACTTCAGTGTGCCACATTACTTCCCGTGCCAAAATACCCTACTCCCTCTTATAATAAATGATTTACATACACTCTACCTTTAAAATTACGAAAAAGACGAGCAAGTCAGAACAAAATTTTGAGTAAATTTTCTGATGTTTTTCGATTAAAATCACAATATAAATTAACTTATTATATATATATATAATCTAATACAAATTTTTGCAATAGCACAAAATAAAGATTTTGTATAACAAAATTTTCACAGGTCTCTGCTAACTGGTAGGTGTCCAGAGACTTTCCCCAGATTTTGGTCAGAAAGTCATGTGACTGATACACAATTATTGTTATGCCAACCGAGTCAGTTTAGAATTCCTGTTAACACAAGTTGATTTGAAATCTACAAAAATTAAAATTTAACGTACAAACATAATTTATATAACAATATCTTTTTTAATACTGATATAAAAAGTTAATTTTTAATTAACAATCTGCGATTTATTTTCTGACCAATAAATTACATTCAGATTTAAATTAGTAATAATAATAAGGCCATACAAATTTAATTACTTGGTTTTCATACTGTAAAATGAAACTTTTAAATAGACCCAACTAGTTTTTTTTTAATTTTCATATATATATAATTTTTTTACTGTAAAACCCACACATTTATTACACTATAATTTCTGAGACACTTGATAAAAATTGGCCGAATGATTTTTCGGCCAGTTTGTTTAAGTTTATGAATTCGGCATAATCCGTATAATAAAAGCTATTTTTGTACGTATTATAATAATCTTTATATCAATAACGATAATGTCAACATTATTAAAAATTTTAGTTCAAATGTTCATCCAACATGTTATGTTTAATTTGTACGAAAATTTGGATAGGTGACCTCTTTCATTTGGCACTGGAGAGTAACCAATCATTGGACGTGACAAAATAAAATTTACTATATAAAACATATAGTAAATACTTATTTGTTACTTAAATGATTTAAATGATTGATAATATCCAACTGCCAAATGAAAAGGTCATTTCTAATAGACCTAATCCATTCTTTCTAAATTTTTTTTCAGCTATTTGTCAGCGAAAGTAAATTATGTAGTGTCGTCAAAGGAAAACTTAATACCTGGCCTTCAATTATATTTTGTACTGAACAAAATCTAATTTATGTCCGGTACAAAATATAATTGAAAGCCCAATAAATAAGTTACCGTATAGTTTTGAAATTAAGCACCCCCCGAAATTAAGCACTACCAAATTTTGTAAAATACCCAAAAATAAGCACCCTTGTGTTTTTATATTGTTTTTGCATTTCTAACTTTGTATTGATAGATTTAATTTATTATTTATTTAAATTATTCAATTTATTTATTTAAATTATTCAATTAAATTATACAACTATGTTATACAACTTGTAATTAATTTCAATTGCTAATATCTATAAATTCAATAATATCGCTAATGTTCATAACTTCATTATCATCAATAAAATCTGTCATTTCTATATCATTGTCACTAATATCCATAATATCTATGATTTCATCGTTATTATCAATATTTATGTTCTTATTAATATCTATGATTTCATCATCTTTACTAATATCTACGATTTCAATATTGTCATTCTTATATCTATTATCAGAATCCTTTAATCTGCCACTATCGGCATCATTATTTTCATTTAAGTCATTCGAGATACCACATTTTACAAAGGACTTAATAATAACATCATCTGGTATTTGTTCCCAGGAATTTTTCACCCACCCGCATACATCACTTATTCTAGCACGTTTAAGGTTTCCAGCTAGAGTTTTTCCGGCACCACCTTTTGCCATCCAAAGATGCCACTCTTTATGAAGATTGTCCTTAAATGGCTTATTAATTGCAACATCAAGTGGTTGACAAATGCTGGTCAAGCCACCCAGAATAACTGCTAAATCAATACTACTGTTATGAAATTTTTCTTTAACCAAATCTTCTAAGTGTTCTTTAAAAGAATCATATACCATCATTGTTGGATCTTCATATTCATTATTAGTTTGTGTGTCAGTAATATAATCAATATATTGGATCATCAAGTTGGAATTCATCCACCTATTATCTTGAAACCAAACAATTATACCAGATAGAATTTTTTCACCACGTGGTAATTGTTTACCTTTGAAAATACAAATTGGTGGAAACTTTGTTCTATCTAAATAAAAAAAAATACAGTAGACGGAATATTATTTAAAAAAACAGTACATATATAAAGAATATTATAAAAAAAAAAATTCTACCCGCAGCACATGTTAAAACAACTGTAAATCGATTTTTGTTATTGTTTGTTCCACGAATATGAATCATTTGGGGCTTTTGCTAGGAAAATCACAGTTCGGGAAGATCACCTGATTTCGGATAAACAAAGATTATAGTTTTGTTACACAAATTCAAAATTGTTCTAAATTTAGATTTGCTTTATT